ATGTTTATAGTAGCAATGTCCACAATAGCCAAACTATGGAAAGAGCCAAGATGTCCATCGACAGATGAATGGATAAGAAGATGTGGTATATATATACAATGGAATACTATGAAACCATCAAAAGGAATGAAGTCTTGCCATTTGCAACCACGTGGATGGAACTGGAGGATATTATGCTGAAATATGAAATAAGTCAATCAGAGAAAGATATGTATAATATGATCACACTGATATGAGGAATTCTTAATCTCAGGAAACAAACTGAGGGTTGCTGGAGTGGTGTGGGGTGGGAGGGATGGGGTGGCTGGGTGATAGACACTGGAGAGGGTATGTGCTATGGTGAGCACTGTGAATAGTGTAAGACTGTTGAATCACAGACCTGTACCTCTGAAAGAAATAATACATTATATGTTTAAAAAAAAAAGAAGAAGAAGATAGTAGGAAGGGAAAATGAAGGGGGGGGGAGATTGGAGGGGGAGATGAACCATGAGAGACGATGGACTCTGAGGAACAAACTGAGGTTTCTAGAGGGGCGGGGTGGGGAGATGGGTTAACCTGGTGATGGGTATTAAAGAGGGCATGTACTGAATGGAGCACTGGGTGTTATATGCAAACAATGAATCATGGAACACTACATCAAAAACTAATGATGTAATGTATGGTGATTAACATAACATAATAAAATTAAAATAATTAAAAAAAAGAGTTCCAGGAAAATTAAAAGGCAAACAATTAGTCTTATCAACAAATGGTGCTGTGACAACTGGATAACCACATGAAAAAGTATAACTGTACCCATAATTTATTCAATATATAAAAATTAATTCAAATGGATAAAAAATCTAAATGCCAGTACTAATACTATGAAACTCTTAGAAGGAAGCCTAGTTGTAAATCTTCACAAACTGTGATTAGGTAGCAATTCTTACATATAACACCAAAGCACAAGCAACAAAGGAAAAAATAAATACACTGGAACTCATGAAATTAAAAACAAATTGTTGCATCAAAGGACAGTATCAAGAAAGTAAAAAAAGACAACCCCAAAATGGAATAAAGGCACATTTGTAAGTCAAAGTGCTTACTCTACTCTCTAGGCTATATAAAGAACAGTACCAACTCAAAACTAAAAAAGACAAAAAACTAATTTAAAAATGGGCAATGGATTTGAATAGACATTTCTCCAAAGAAGATACACAAATGTCCAATAAGCACATGAAAAGGTGTTCAACATTGTTAATCATAAGGGAAATGCAGATCAAGCCACAATTAAATACTACTGCACATCTACTAGGGTGAATATAATTTTTTAGAAGATATTATTTATTCATGAGAAAGAGAAGCAGAGGGCGAAACAGGCTCCCCATGGAAAAGGGAGCCCGATGTGGGACTCCGTCCCAGGACTCTGGGATCATGACCTGAGCTGAAGGCAGACGCTTAACCGGCTGAGCCACCCAGGTGCCCAAGGATGAATGTAATTTTTAAAAAATAAACAATTGTGATTTGGGTGAGGATGTGGAGATATTGGAACCTTCAAGAAATCCTGCTAGAAAGGTGAAAGGGTGTGCCCACTATGGAAAACAGTTTGTCATTTTCTGAAAAATGTGAAAGATGGTTATCAAATGAAATTCCACTTGCAGGTGTATGTCCATGAGAAATGAAAACATATGGTCACACCAAAACTTGCACAAGAATGTTCAGAGTTGCATTATTCATAAAAGCCAATAAGTAGATACAATCCAAATGTCTATAAACTGACAAATGGATAAACAAAATGTGTTATATCCACAAGATGGAATATTCCTCAGTCATAAAAAGGAAAGAAGTACTGATACATACTACAATGTGGTTAAACTTTGAAAACACCGTGCCAAGTGCAGGAAATCATTCACAAAAGACAACATATGATAAATAGATGAGTAGATTTACTTTCATGTGAAAATCATACATATATTGTAGGATTTCATGTATGTGAAATGTCCAAATAGGCAAATTCATAGAGATAAAAAATAGTTTAATGGCTGCCAGGAATTGATAGGTGGGGAATTGGGAAGTATGTAGTTGTTTTTTGTTTTTTGGAGGAGGGGGTAGATGATGGAAACGTGTTAGAATTAGTAGTTATGGTTGTACAGCACTGTAAATGAATGTATACTAAAATATATGTAATCTTATGCTTCAAAATGGCAAATTTTAAGTTTTGTGAACTTTATCTCAATTCAAGAAAACACTGTATTTTCCTTACCAAGTGTCAGGTTTTAAATGTTCAGTTTCCTGTGTCCCACTTACATTATGGCTAAAATATAGAGCTGATGTCCATCTAATAAGATTCCTTTAAGAATTAAGTTACATAACAGAAGGGATGACAAAGCTTGTGTAGAAAACAGTCATGCAGAGAGGTGGAATTCCCATCGCTGATGGATACTAACTTCCAGTAGTATACCCGAAGTTCCTAGAAGACAGTAGTAGTATCTGCTTTCCTTAGCAATTTTTCCCTACCATTAATACAGGGCTTAACATATAGTAGTGATTTTTTAAAAAATAATATGTTAAATAAAAAGGAAAGCAATATATGTATAAATTTACCAGCATTCACTGAATGTTTTTTATACATGTCCTCTATAATGAAAAAGGCTATGAAAGTGGCTGAATGCATTTTTATAATGTGGCTCTAATGTCTACATTCTAATGGATAAAAAATCTAAATGCCAGTCCTTTCATGTAAATGAATATGTAACTCCCACATAGATCACTCTTTTAGAGGTGGAAGTGTTTAGTGAAAAGGAGAGCAGGCCTGATAATGTAGCAGATTGATACTTGTCTTCTAGTAATCAATCTTCATTTCTGCCATTAAAATCAAGCTTCAAATGGACATATGACCACCCAAACAAAGCTTGTTTCTTGTTGGCTGAGAGATGAAAGAAATGGAGAATCACTGGACTTGGACCACGAATAGAGAGACTGCCCTGATGAAGGCGGAGTTGCCTGGCACCCCAGGATCACCAACTTTTCTCTTGACTGATTCATGAGAGAAAAAGGAAATAATATCATTTTTCTTCCAAATCTCGAAATCTTACAATATCTTTGAACAGATTCTCCAAGTCATTCAATGATAGACAGACCCATGTTTTAGAATTTAAGTGCATATTGCCTGACATTTGTAATCGTAAGATTAACCTGGAGTACATTTTAGAATCAAGTTTCCAGATCCCTCTCCTAGAGGTTTTGATTGTTTAGGATAAAGAGGAGCCCAAGTTGTCTGTATTTTTAATAAATACACAAGTAATGTATTATTTGTTCACCTTTGAAAATATTTCTTTAATTATAGTTACCAAAAGTATTCATGTCTTTTCACCCACTAGCCAACCAAAGAAAGAAAGGGTATTTTAAAACGTTAATATTATTGAACAGTGTGTTGACTGAAATATTTATGATTTTAAATTGCATTAGATTTTATGTTAAGAAACACACAAGATAATTTTTCAATTGTCTTTGAATAATTGAACATAGAAAAGAAAAATCTTTCAATCATAGGGTCTTAGGAAAATTCTTCAACATCCGATATTCCATCTTAATACCATAGAAGTCTTTGGTTATCTAGGAATTTAAAACCCTGACTGAGGAAGTTCTAATTGGTTGTAGAATCTACCACAAAACTGGATCACAATAAAAGCCATAGTGATGTGTAGCTCAGGCAAAATCAGCATCTACCATAATAACCAAACTCAAATGCTCCACCACTTTCACTGTAAAGAAAGAAAAAGAGAAAGAAAAATTATTAAAAGAACATTTAAAATTTCTAGGTATTGCACTAAGTGCTCCTCAATGAGGAGAATTTGAAAATGGGATAATGTGTCCGGATTCAATCTTGGAAACTGCACAGACCTGAGAGAGGAGAGGATTAGAGATTTCCAGATTAAAGGAGAGGAAATATCTGTGATAGAAAATGGTGACTCAGAAAAATTGACCAAACTTGAAGACTGCCAACTCCTCTTGAGTGAAGGATACAGGAAGAGAGTTTACATGGAAGGTTCCAGAATGCCTGCTTCTAAGAAAGGTTTGGAGTGTGTCATGGAGTTCAACAGACAGAGCGGAGTATAGAGGAGCTCTTCTGAGCAGGAATGGGCCCAGTGTGATGATTTCAGAGTTCTGTAGCTAGTAGGGTTTCTTGCTCAATAATGCCCAAGTTAGCTTGCAGCTACATCATGGAGACTGCCACTCATCATCTGGACTTTGGAATTATATCAGTGACTAGACTGTCATTAGTAAATCATAATAATTCAATTAGGTTCAACTAATTGACTTATACATTTTCAGAATATCCACACAGTTATATTTGAGAGGTCAAATACAAAACTGCTTCTAGAAATGAGAACTTCAGGGAAAGGTACAAGTGTGTTTCTGTGGCTTTTACAGAGAGAGTAGTTATTTTCTGCATATACTGTGCCTCGGCTATCAAAAACATGGGTTTTCCTATCATTTTATGATGGTTTCTTCATTATTTTGGAAAAGCCATATTTAGTCTTGTGTTCTTACAATTGTTCACTGCAGAAAACGCATGTATTGGAATAAGTTTGGCCATTGGTTGCACAGACTGGATCCTTTTCTCTTGTGCAAAAATGTGATTGATGTATATACACATCACAGCTTGGCTGTTGAACACAAAGAGACAACATAAAATGTATCAAGTAATGAACTTTTTAAATAAAATGTCCCTTACCTTAATACAAAGTGTCATGCATTAAAATGGAATAAATATATTCTATATTGAGGTTTAAAAATAAGCATCAAGGTACCCATAGTCCACTTACACATAAAATATTTTTAGTATATTTTTACAAACAAACCCAACATTATTTTTTTAAAAAAGACATACAAATGGCTAAATGTGTTTTTATAATTTAGACACTCTGCCTCCACTTCTCCTCACACTACGGTCAGATTTTCCTCAGTTGACCCTTGATCAGTGAGGGTCTTAGAGGTATGGGCCCTTCCACCTTACACAGTTGAAAATTCACATATAACTTTTGACTCCCCCAAAACTTAAATACCAATACCTTACTGTTGACCAGAAGCTTTATGACAACATAAACAGTCAATTAACAAATATTTTGTATATGTATTATATATAGTTTTCTTACAAAAAACCTAGAGAAAAGAAAATATTAAGGAAAGGGGTGACTGGATGGCTCAGTTGTTGAGTGTCTGCCTTTGGCTCAGGTCACGGTCCCAGGATCCTGGGATAGAGCCCCACATTGGGCTCCCTGCTCGTCAGGAAGCCTGCTTCTCCCTCTCCCACTACCCCGCTTGTGTTCCCTCTCTCACTGTGTCTCTCTCTCTGTCAAATAAATAAATAAATAAAATCTTTAAAAAAAAAAAAAGAAAATCATAAGGAAGATTGTACTGTCCTGTAAAACAATCTGTGTATAAGTGGACCCATGCAGTTTAAAAGTCAACTATATTTCATACCACAAGAAATCATAAAACAATTTTTAATAACTCCCTTGTCTTTCTCAGTAGTTTTACTACTATATAATCTGTTAGTTTCAGATTATTACCACACTTGTAAGAATTCATATATATGAGTGTTTGCATATGTGTATATAACCATACAGATATGTATGTAATTTGCTTAATGATGACAGTGTTGGTTATTTACATAAATAAACAACGTGTGTATTCTTACAGAACCTGCTTTTTAAATGTCTTTATAACTTTTATCTATTCACATGTTTAGAACTGTAGTTCATTTTCATCACCTCTATGAAACTGACTCTGTGAATGTATGACAATTATTATTTTATCTACCATCTAGTGAAAAATTGGGTTGTTGCTTCTTTAATCCTTGTTTTGCTAAGATAAACAATTCTACTTTAAACACCCCTTAATCCATAACAGACACTTGTCTATAACAAGGCTAAACTAGTAATGGAATTTTTTAGTAATGGGATATTTTTACCTTGTCTTTAATGCCAAATGACTTTGTACGTCTGGCAAGATTCTGTTTCTTGAACTTAGCGTAATAATAAAACTGTTTGTTACTTTTGAATGATCGTTCTGTTGTACACAGGGAAATTTGCTGTTAAAACTTACAATATAAAAAAATTAAAGGCTTACCATTTCAATTCCTGAAGTAATCAGTATTAACTTACCACTTGACGAATTTCTGGTAAAGGTTCAAAAGAAGTTTCTGCAACCAACCACCACACACACAAATTAAATATAAGAGGAGGAAGAGGGGAAAATCATCCAGTCTCTGGTGAAAAGTACCCATATCTCTTAGTAGCAAAATATTACGCAAATTGCCTAATAGGACCCTGGAAATGATGATATGATAAGGGATTCATTTGATACTGCCTTTTATAGCAGTATCAAAACAGTAAGTTCACAAAATAAATTCAGATGTAGAAAGATAATTCCAAATTAATCTCATTCCATGAAAATTATCTTATGTATTATTTAATAATCATCAAACACTCCTGTAAGATACTATAGTTGTGATTTTTTTCCATTTTTATAAATGAGACATCTTAGTTGGAAAAGACAATGGTTTGCTTAGTGTCACTCATATGCCTCTCAAAAAGTCACTTAATATGAAGAAATTAATTATTATTTAATTAATTCATATTCAGGTCTCATATCAGGGATCTATCCACTACCTCACAGGTACTTTATTCTGAAATTCATGGGCCACCTTGGGCTTTAAGGAGCATAAGGTTGTTAGCAGAGGAATAAATGAATTCTTTCCTTATACAACGCCTTAACTCAGAGGTGGCAAACAACAAATCAGATTTTCAAGGATGTCAGACCTAGAAAACATCATTACTTTCCACACTCTGCATTTAGCAACAGTGGAATCTGAACTCCAAAAAGGAAAAAAAAAAAGTAAATATTTTTAGTCATAGATGAACAAAAACACAAGTTCATTCTGAGTACTGCTCATCCTAACCCACATCTTTGTCTCCAGCTCTCTAAGGTGGGAAATGAGATTAGGCAACCCACTGATGCAATTTTAAAAGGTATTTCTAACATACTCTGTTTCATTTTGCCAGTTTAAGATTTATAAATCCTATAAATCAAACTCCTCCATTTCCAAATAATAGCAGTTGTTTGCTGCATTTCTAAGATATGGGAAATGCTTCATCCAGGACTGAAAAATGTACTCACCAGAATAATGAGGAAATGCCAAGGCAATGATAAAAATAGCTTTGATCCATGTCAAGAAGAAAGACATTTTACCAAGTCTGTGGAAGAAACCCATAGAGACATTATAACATACAGCACAGGGACAATCTGCCCATTTCCAAATGAAACTTTCTTATAGGTGAAGAAGCTTTTCCACTTTCCTAGATTCCTACTTAGTGTGGACTATTCCCTTTTTCCTTCCCCCAACACACAGTGTCAACAAGACATACATGGTAACAGAAGACCTTGTATGGACTTGAAAGGAACACCAGGCAAGTCCTCTGTGTATATTTAAGTAGGAGCTGTTTACTCTCCCAACCCTTGGCTCAGCCCACAAGGAGCCAGGCTGCATTTATGGAAATATGCACTTTGGAATCTGAAATTTTTCATCAGAGCATTTGACTGCATCAGAAAATAGAAACCATTATTTCAGGAAGGACTGACCTACAGCAGTCCTCCCATCAAACTCCACACCACAGCTACCTTCACAGAGTCCCTTCCACCTGACACAGAGAAGACAGTGGAGAGTGGGGTCTACAGCTCTAGAGATGGTGCCTATTCAGTTCACTTTACTTCTCAACTATTTCCACCCAGCTGAGGAATCTCCTTTATTGATCTGATGGTGAGGAGCTTATGGGGGTGAGATGGCTCATGGCAGATAAGATGCTGAGGTACTCTGTGTTCTGCCTAGAGGCTCTAAAATAGCTGTGAGAGATGCTTCACAAATGCATTATCAATAGATCTCTAAGCAGCAAATTTGGGGTAGTTTGATCAGATGTCTCCAGAAGTATGGGGAGGAGAGGTGGTAATAGTGCTTTGAAACCAAGATAGAGAAGAGATGTGAAATCTTTCCAAGCTATTGAATTGGGAAGAAAAGGAGAATCAAAAGAAGAAGAGAAGAAAGAGTTTTGGGAATTGTAATTGGAATTATAACTTGGACTCACGTATTTTGCAACGCCAGAAGCACACAGGACTTAATTGGAGATTTGATTTGTATTAAACTTTTTATTTTGAGATCAATGGAGATTCTCTTAAAACCTTAAGGACTAATGCAGGGAGTTCTCATGTTCCTGTTAACCAGTTTCCCCTAATGGGAACATCTTGTAAAACTATAGTACAAATTCACAACCTGAAATGTTCAAAAAATTTCCTAGATGAGCATTGGAATGGCCCACTTTGGGGACCTGGGCTAGAGGACAGTGTGTGCCCTGAATTGTATGATGGATAATTTGATCTTTACCTCAAAGTGAAGTGGAAGACCCTACAGGGTTTGAAGTAGGAAGAGATTTAATCAGAGCTGTTTAACTAATCTGCTTTGCAGTCTGGCTCAGTGGTAAGAGATTTGGCAGATGAAAGTCCTAAATTCAAATCCCATCTACCCCTGAGTAACCTTGACACAATATTCATACCGTTTAGTCCACAATTTCCTAATTTTAAATGTGAGAATAATTTCTGTCTCATAGGCTTGCCATAAATATTAAGGATAAAATACTAAAAGTCTGTACATAGGTTGTGTGTCAGACTTAATTTGTCATCCTAATCTAACCTGCCTTTTTTTTTTTAATCAGTGAAGAAAGCCAAGATTTAGGAAAGAATCCTTGAATCTAGCGCTGTTCCATGCCAACTTAATGGGAGGGTACAAAATCTGATAAGTGCAAAAAAATGTTCCTTTATCATAATAAAGTGACTATTGTGTTTACATTTGTCCTTTGAAATATTTACATAGACACCATCAGAGATATTCATGCAGGCAAATCCTTTTGGCACATTTGTGGAGAAATTAAACTGAAGTTCTCTTACATGTATTGATTAGCAGAGGTTAAGAGCAGGAGACACTCCCTATGTTGCACAACAGGTCACAAGTTTTTAAATTAACCATGAAAGAGAATGTTAAATGTATGTATTATTTAATGCATATCTATCTTCCTTGAAAATGTTTAATATGCATAAATGGTTGAATATAAGCATAAATGTACAGATATTTAATATACAACTATACTAAAATCTCACACAAATATATACATATGTGTATATATAGATATATATGCATTATGTATATATATGTGTGTCCATATATGGTGGATCTATATGCATGTATATACCTGTATATGTATCTAGATATGTAATAACACACATATAACATGTATATTATATATGTAATAATATGTATTAATGTTACATCTACACATATATCAATGCATATATGCTTATGTACATATACACACATGAACAGTATATGTTTATACACTATGTCGTATACATATGTATACTACACATAGTACATATACATATGTGTATATCTATCTATACATATCTATATACCTAAATTATCTAGGTGAGCCCTAAATGTCATCACAAGTATTTTTATAAAAGAGAGACAGAAGGAAATTTGATGCAGACACACAAAGAAGAAGGCCTTATGAAGACAGAGCTGAGAAAGAGTTGAAGATATTGACTTTTAAGATGATAGATAATAGATAGATATAGATAGATGATGGATGGATAGATAAAAATAGGAACAGAAGAATAAATAAAGATTTTTCTGTAACTATCTTTTTTCATTTAACAGTCAATGGTATATCTTCATATAAGTGTATACATAATCATAATATATAATAAGTAGATACACATATAAGTATACACAATTCCTTTTAAGGTGTTATTAAATACTTTTGCTAGCAATGTTGTATTGAACATGATTGTACAGGTCATTATATGCTCATTCAATTGTTTCTAGACTTTTAGAAGTTGCATTTTGAGTCAAATAATATATGCAGTTTAAATTTTATAGATAAGAGCAAATTACTTCCGGCACCCTTGTAGTCTTTTACTATGAAAAAGATAGATTACAAACATGACTGTTTCTCCACACCTCATCAAATGAGTGTCTTCTGAAATACTCAGTTTTCCACACACACATCTAAATATATACACACATATAAAATAAATATATTGGATGATTTTTTTCAGTTACAGAATTTCTTCATTTGGGAATGAAGTTAAAATTATAAGTTAATGAAACCACAATTTCTATTTTTTTTACTTTTATCAATTTTTTTCTACAAACATGGTTTACCTCCCTATGTGAGTCCTGAATGTGTGAAGAAATTATACTTTACTAATTAGTAAAATTCATTGTGATTTTCTCTTCTGCAAAATGAGATTTTTCTGAGAGTCTGTGATGGAACCTCTTGTCACACATGGCATATACAAGTGGAACAATGTATTTGAACTGGTGATGTCTGAACTTTTGACATGCTGCCTATTGTGTCCATTTAGAAGCTCTGAATATTAACTCCTGCTGGAAAATGCTGACTACATGCTTATTTATGTCTCCTCTCCAATATTCCAAATTTATAGTGTTTAGGAGATCCTGTTAGGTTCTGGAGGCAAAATATCAAATATATGGAGATCAATATAGGCAGGAGAATTGACCATGGGATTCTGTAGAAGCAGGCAATTCCCAATAACCAGGAAACAAAAGAAACTATAAACCTGATCATCAGGGGCAGGTTTGGTAATCACATCTTGTAGTTGGGTATAGTTGAAAAACCGTGGTCAGGGGCATCTGGGTGGCTCAGTCAGTCAGGCGTCTGCCTTCAGCTCAGGTCATGATCTCAGTTCCTGGGATGGAGTCTGCTTCTCCCTCTCCCTCTGCCCCTCTCCCTGCTTGTGCTCTCTCTCTCTCTCTCTCTCAAAAAAATAAACAAAATTTTTTTTAAAAAAAAGGAAAGTAAACCATGGTCAGCCAATGAACTTTATCCTTGAAGAATTCAAAGATAGACATGCTTAGAGCACCTCTTATGTGAAGGCATATGTCATTATCCAAACTAATAAAGTCAAAGATATTACTTTCTTCTGAATCATTGATACTGTCTATGGGATATTTTGCTTCACTTGCCAACTGTACATAAGCCTGAGTTTGTCTTTAAAGCAAATTGCCTTGTCAGAAAACAGGCAGTATCTTACGTGCCATAAAGAAAATTCCTCAGGGCAGCACAAAGGAATGTGGGGATGGTCACAGAATGGTTTTGCATCTTGATTTTGATGGTTACCTGACTATGTGTATTTGTCAAAACTCAGAATGGTATACCAGGAACAATGAATTTTACCATATATAATTTAATTTAAAAAGTAAATTAAAAATTTCCATTTAAAAAAACAGTTGATGCATTTGCTGGAAGTAACCAACTATTTGATCTCACCTGAAAACCAACATTTTAAAATTTATAGCTATTTAATATAGACCATCTAATTTAAAATAACTTTCTCGTGGTGTCACTTTTAAAAAATTGATGTCTAGAAATGTATAGGAAAGAAATTACGCTTGACCTCAAAGGGTCCGTAGGTTAAATCACATTTCTTTCCCTTCATACCTAGAAATATAAATTTCAGTGACAGATTTAGGGAACTATCTCATTCACTTGTGAAGCTGTGAAACCCATCAACCCCACCCACTATACAGCGCGTGGGAGAGTCGCAGGGGTTGCGGGGAGGTGGAGGGCAGAGAATTCCATCTTCCCTTCATGCAGTTCTCTCCTTCTCTTTGAGTTCCTGCCTCCACAGCAGAGTTGGAGGGATTCTCACCTAGACACAGTGCTCCTTAGAAAGCCAGTGATATTCCAGAATCTTTCTCCATTCTGGGAAGTAAGTCTGCAGGCTAGCCAGTGGTTTCTGGTAGCAGAGCCCCTTTGGTTGCTTCTTAGTATGCCATTAGTGTAGGGGAGTCTGTTGTTTTTCATTAGAATGTATGGTCCTGGTGACTTTTCATCTTCCCCTTGGCCTTGGTTATCAATAAGAAAACTCCTACTTAGTGTCCTATTAGATTAGGAAAGACTTACAAAGCATTAGGACCATAGGAGAAGTGGTCCTCAACATCCTGCAATGCATGTGTTGTAGCCAATTCAGTGTTCGCATCTGGCATGGGCTGTGGAGGGAAGGATGATGCATGAAGGAATCCAGGGTGCTAACAGAGTGTCCTTGACATAGCTGACAATGAGGTCCCAGACTGGATGATCCCTGAGGACAAGATCACACGGTTCATTTTAT